TAAGTTAGCAGCGATGCAGGTGGATGCTTCTCTGGTGTCCTGGATTGTTGATTACCTGACAGGAAGACCACAATATGTACGTCTCCCACAGTGTGTGTCTGACAAGGTGATTAGCAACACAGGGGCACCACAGGGGACTGTCCTCTCCCCCTTCCTCTTCACCCTCTACACCACAGACTTCAGCCACTGCACAGAGACCTGCCATCTTCAGAAGTTTTCTGATGACTCTGCGGTGGTTGGATGCATCAGCAGGGATGATGAGACAGAGTACCGGGCTGTGGTCGACTCCTTTGTCACGTGGTGTGAGCAGAATCATCTGCAGCTCAACGTGGCAAAGACCAAGGAACTGATCGTGGACTTCAGGAAGACCAGGAAACACTTGACCCCTGTTTCAATCCAGGGGGTCAGTGTTGACATTGTGGAGGACTATAAATACCTTGGAGTACACATTGACAATAAACTGGACTGGGCTAAAAACACCACAGCACTTTACAGGAAGGGCCAGAGTCGTCTCTATTTTTTGAGGCGACTGAGGTCCTTCAACATCTGCCAGAAAATGCTGAGGATTTTCTATGAGCTGTTGCATGCTGGGGGAGCAGGCTGAGGGTCGCAGATGCCAACAGACTTAATAAACTGATCCGTAAGGCCAGCAATGTTGTGGGGATGGAGCTGGACTCCCTCAAGGTGGTGTCGGAGAGGCGGATGCTGTCCAAGATAAAGACAATGTTGGATAACACCTCCCACCCACTCCATGACATGTTGGTCAGTCACAGGAGCTCGTTCAGTGAGAGACTGAGATTACCGAAAAGCACCACTGAACGACACAGGAAATCATTCCTGCCTGTGGCCATCTCCCTGTACAACGCATCCACTTAACACACTGTTTGCTGCTACAACTACACATGTTTCTTTTCCAAATATTTATTTATAAGTGACTTATGTATGTATGTATGTATATATATATGTATATATTGTACTATTCTTAGTTAGCGTATTTTCTGTCTTGTCTTAATGTTGGTTTAAAATGGAGCACTGTAACAAAAAATAATTTCCCCCAGGGATCAATAAAGTATTCTGATTCTGATTCTAATTACAGTTACTTACAATGTACTTGCGTTACATTGTAAAATAATTGAACTTGCTGAATATCATTATTTAATTTCAATAATTTTGTCTTCTAAACGTAGAAGTAAACTCTGCCGCTTTAACATCGCTGTAGTGCAGCTGTGTGTCATTTCGCGTCAGTTTGCTGCACAGTCATATTCTAAAGCGGAAGCTGTTGGACTCGGCTGAAGCGAGTGGCTGTTTTTTGAAATGGATATATTCCCGTCTCTTCACTTTTCTGAAACAAGCAGACAAGAACATTACAGTAATATGTAAAAACTATTTTTACTCATGCTAAAACTGTTAATAGCACGAGTAATCTACTGAAGCGCCTGACACGAGAGCATAGATGAACACTTCTGAGTGATCCTTGTTCATCATCCATGGATAACACCGCGGCAACTCCTGCTAAGCAGGCAAAACCTGATTTTACTTCAGCAGCACAGAAAACGTCTGAAGGTGAGCTTAAAAAAATGATTGCAGGCTACATTGTGGAAGAGATGCTACCGCTGCATACTGTAGAGTTTCCATCTTTAAATTTTTTTTTATTTATTATTACTTTGGAGTTGAGACACAAGATGAACTTTGATGGAAAGTTTATTGCACTTAAAAATTTAAGAAAGAAACAGAAAGAGAAAACTTTCACCGCAGAGACAAGCTTGCTTGTCAACACTGGTTGCAGGCAGATTCAAGTGCCGGTCCATCTGCTAGTGAAGAAATATCTAATATGTGTAAAATATGCCTCAGTAAGAGGCACATTTATGTCAATTGATCATAGCACAGAAACAGTACTTGCTTGATGCTCTTGCATCAATGCCCTAAAGATCAATAGTGACTTACAAAGAGTTTCAGTTTAAGTTCTGCTCGATCTCACTGTTGCTTTCAGCACTGTTGACTGTCGCATTAGAATTCAAAGGCTTCAAAACTTTGTTGGTTTAGCAGATCAGGTTCTTGCTTGGCTCTCATCATATCTAAAGGGTACTTTTTATATTTCAATTAAATGATCTGTGCCAATTAAAAATTTTCTCGTTTGGCTCTCGGCGAAGGCAGTCGCACTTTTCTCCTCTCCTCCTTCTCCTTACCTTATCTTCCCTGCTTAGGCTCTTGTGTGCTTGTCTTGTCTCGTGTGTATTACTTTCCCTGGAACACTCTCTCACAGTCTGTTCTCTAAACCTAAAAGAGAATTATGGATTTGATCAGCTGGTCTCTGAATGCTATTGACACCCTTTAACGAGAAGTCTGGGCTCGGGAGAGCCCGAGTGCCCTGGAGGGACTTTCCCTGCCGGATACATGATGGACGGGTGGCAGAGGATCGTGTGTCTGGCGGGACTGTCGATCGAGGACGCTTAAGATATCGACCTATTCGGAACCATGATAACAGGGTTCTTGCTGATCGGAGCTGGCTTGGCCCTGGCTTATCGGAGAATTAAGAAAGCGGAACCGGCTGTTCAAACCCCCCCAAGGCTGACCGCTGGGATTGAAACGATGGGACGAGGTGCGACTTCTCAGAACGGGCTCATTGAGTGCAGCATGGTTAAGACCTTGGAGAAGCTTACGGCCAGTGTTGGTCAAGTTACTTGAAAAAAGTAATCAGTAACTAATTACTGATTACTTCCCCCCAAAAAGTAATCCCGTTACTTTACTGATTACTTATTTTCAAAAATAATTAATTACTTAGTTACTTAGTTACTTTTTTAAAACACGATTTACAACCTGAATAGGTGATAAAGTGATAGATCCTTCAGCCCAATTCTACTTTTTCTGCATCATCATCATACAAAATGTAATCAAATGGAAAAGTCTCTTTTTAAAACTTGTTTTATTAGTTTTAATCTTTTAACTTTAGGCATCAAGCAAAAAATTAATTATCGGCAACATTCTCTGACTGGAAGAAATTAGTTTAACATTTAAACCTATTTTCTGCACATTCCAGCACATAAAATAAAATATTTTTTGTGTTTACACTCAGTCTTTCAAATAGATGCAAGTAAAACACAGCAGAAAATAAATAAAATCAAAGACTAGCGGTCCTTTTGCTCTATTTTCACCTGTAAAGCAGGAGCGAGGTAGGCGGAGGTTTGCCCTGGTGCAGGTGCGCCGCAGCGCAGTTGAAGAATCCACGAGTTTCTCTGTGAATTTCCCGCTACGTGGTAGCGCACTCGGTGCTTGCTTGGAAGTTTAGGGGTTTTTTTCCGCTGTAAAAAGAAGTTTTCTTCCCACGCACAACGGACGCTAATGTTTTTGTCACTTTTTATGGAATCAAACTCAAAATAAGGTCAGTACTTAAACGCTGCACGCTCATACTCTCTCCGTACTCGATATATGATCCATTGTTGATCTGCACACAGCTGTTGTCACGAACGTCGCACTCGCTTACGTCACTGTCATGAGACATTCTCGCAAAAAATCACGGTTTTAGTAACGCAGCGTTCCTACGGGAAAGTAACGGTAATCTAATTACCGTTTTTGCAATAGTAATCCCTTACTTTACTCGTTACTTGAAAAAAGTAATCAGATTACAGTAACGCATTACTGCCCATCTCTAACCACGATAGAACATGTTGATCGTGTCATCAAGCTGCGCTTGCTTTGGTTGAAAGCATCACAGCGGCTGCAAGCAATATCACCTGCAAATTATGCCAGGCGACAGTAATAGCAAAGAGATGAAGCACGTCACATTAACTTGGAAAAAAGTTGCCGTTCATCCTCCAGCTTCACTGTTTAGGATATGCTAACATAGCTGTGTCGGTAGCAATCATCTAGCACATCATTATATACCAGCTAGTCCTACTTCAGTGACCCTACAAAAATCACTGCTGTTTAATTTTCTGTCTTCATTTATTTTGGAAGTGATAGCAGAGCTGTAAGTTTTTTCAGAAATCTCTCAGTCAGAACACGGTATATCATGTTTAGGTGGAAACTAGCAAGCTAACTTCTAGCTCTGTTAAATTTAATAAATTCTGTTTTCATGGATGCCTGGATGTTAAACTTAATTGTTACAATCGGTACAGCAGCAACGCTCATCATTTTATTAAAGAGGAAAGATTTTAGACAGTTTAACTCTTAGTGATGCCGCAGTGTTCGTTTGACTTTGGGACCTGATGCAGACGGAGTTTAGGACCCAGATTACACCGCGAGACTCTTGACTACAGTAGCCGTAATGCGCTGACAATCCACCAAGCGGTGCGGTTTCATAGCTCACCAAAGTTGGACTACATTCATTCAATCATTATTTACAGATTTTTTTTTGAGTGGCGTGTACCACATAAAATCAGTTCGAGGTCAATAAGCACAACCAGAATACAAACATAGGGCACACAGGATTATAAGGCGCACTGTGGATTTTTGAGAAAATTAAAGGATTTTAAGTGTGCCTTATAGTGCGGAAAATACAGTATACAGAAGAAAAGAATATATCGCGATATATGTCGTTACCGCACATGCTTCATATTATACCACAATATGGATTTTAGGCCAGCCCTAATATAACTTGAAATAAATGACCTAATTTTTCATTTCATATCATTTATTTCACCTGTTGTCTTTATTTTAATTTCAGATTACCTTTCACCTCAACATGTTTGTCTTGTCATGTGGTAATATATTTTTTCAGCCATACATAGTTTAGCTTTACTAATCTATTCTTTATGCTTATTCTGTGTAGCTTTTTAACTATTCTAACAAAATAACTCTTTTCCCTAAATCTGTGTGTAAAATAAATTATTTCTTTTGTAAACACTGTTTTACAGTGTTTTTCTAACACTCAAACGGACAGATTCAAATGTCTCACTGTTTGTTTTGTTGAAGACCTTTGTAAGTGGGAGACCTGAGTGCACACACTGTGCATCTCCCCGCCCACTGGCGCAAGCTCTCTAGAGCTCTTTAGTGGACTTCAGTATATAAATCACTGACAAAAGAAAAAAGAACAGGAGGAGAAGCAGACGGGGTCAAAACGAGCTGAAGCTCTCTTTTCTGCTGTACAGGTAATTACCCCCATTTGCTTTGATATGATTTGATTTTCAAACAGTGTAAAAATGAAGTTAAGCCAGGTTAATGTTTGTTTGTTCTCAATGTAAAGGGTGCAGGTTATTGGCGAGTGGATGAAACTGTGTCTGTGAAGCACTCCTTCACCCCCAATGTTGCGAGTCTTATTTCAATATTGTTTTCATATATGTTACAGCTTTGTTTGCACTAATATTAATAAGAGCTGCTGTGAGAAAAGTACTACAGTGAATTTATACAAACAGCATTGGCTGCAGAATACTCTCATGGTTTAATAATTAATTTGTTTTTCTGTTGAGCTCTGATGATGCTTTGATTTTTAAACATTTGTTATGAGGTGGTAATATCAGGGGTGGGTATGTGTGGGTTGACTGCCCTCTTAAAGGACAACTCCCATTAAGGCTTAAATATCTGGGACACTCCACCATTTGGTCTTACAACTGAAGAAGCTTCTCCAATGAGAGGTGAAACATCTTCAAGAAAATAGAAGAAGTCCAGTCCCTTTTCTTTCACAGCTCCTTGGATTACTATGACTATAAATGAGATCCTATACAGACGGTTGGTTGGTTAACCTGCAGTGGGTCTGGTACAAGTAGGTCATCTGGAACAGCAACTGATTAACTATCTGAATTAGTGATGGGATTTCTGGCTCTTTTTAGAGAACCGGCTCATTCGGCTCGGCTCACTAAAAAGAGCCGGCTCTTTCAGCTCCGAACCAGCTCTTCAGGTTGTTTTGTTGCTTTAATTAATTAATTAATTATCAACAACAATATAAAATTATTCACAAAAGGAATTAGTAATGTAAAAAACGTGGTTTTCTTTATATATGTTTATATATAAATATTTATGGGGGCCCCTAGAGACGAAACACGTACAAACTCCAAAACACATTTCTAGCGTTAACTGAACTTCCAAAACAGAGCTACCTAGATCACTTAAATTACACAATCGAATTCATATGTCTATTGTTTTTGTATCAATACACAAACACTCATATATATATATATATTCAAATAATTAAAAAAAAACAACTTACCTTTTACTACCAGTGTTGGGAAGGTTACTTTTCCATTACAGAATACAGAATACATGCCCCAAAATGTATTCTGTAAGGTATTCTGTTACGTTACTCAATGAGAGTAATGTATTCTGAATACTTTGGATTACTTAATATATTATCATGCTGTTTACAACTACGTGAATGTACTATTGCTGTGATTTATTACTGTTACTGAAGGTCCGCGGCTCCAAACCGTAGTAAAGGACCTCTGGCTCATACGTCGGGTCCGTGTCGGGCTCGTAGCCGAAAACTGGCTTTACTTTGTTGTGTGGGTCAACTTTGCTAGCAAGAGACAGAGAGAGGCGTTGAAAGGCTGCTCCAATGGAACTTATTGTTTTTGGAGGAAAACACGAACACGGTGTACAGTCGAGTCTTAATAGCTTACTTACAACTGGGCTCGTCAGGCACTCTTCTTGGCTGCAGTGGTTATTATTATATTTACATGCTTCCAGCTCCCGTTTTTGCTCGGTGACAGCTGTACTTTTCCTTTTTCTCCCTCCTCGCTCACAGACCCATAACGTGTATGGCAGTCCATTCTCCCTGCAGCACGGACTACACTGCCTATGATGCTACATTCTTTAGAGCTATACCGGTAGCATTCTGCCTATTAGCTTAGCACAACAACAACAAAAAGGCGCTCTCTCACCCAGGAAACACGCAGAGAGAGAGCGTCACCCTGTAACCATGGCAACCGTAACGCTGCCGCCTGGAACAACAGAACGTAGCTGTCAAACAAAACCCAAACAGTCCTGACCCGCCACAATATGAAACGGGGAAGTACCGCCGTGTAATCCATTTATTTCAACAAAGTAACTGTATTCTAAATACCACCTTTTTAAACGGTACCTGTAACGGAATACAGTTACTCATATTTTGTATTTTAAATACGTAACGGCGGTACATGTATTCCGTTACTCCCCAACACTGGTTACTACCACACACCCAATCCGATTGTTGATACTTCCTGGCTTGTGTAGCCACTAGGTAACAAAAGCTCAACACGTCCCCTAGCATCCCGGAGCACTTCTGTTGTGTTTTGGAGTTTGTACATGCTCCGGAGTGTGTACGTGCTTTGTCTCTAGGGGCCACTGTAAATATACTGTAACGATGGTTAAATGTTATTTTACAGTGACATGTTGGTTATCTCTGCACACTGTTGTTATTTCTTTAAGATACATGTTTGGTTGTGCTGCAGGAAAAAGGGAGTTAATGTGTGCAGGAAGGGGAGGGGGGTCCTTGTTGTTGTGTGACTGTGCGGGGCTGAAGTGAGGTGTTGTACGAGGTCACTCTCCCTGGAGTTAACGGCCCATGTGCCTGTGTTACCGAATAAACGGACAAACTGAGCGCTTTCACGTCTTTTTTTAGCGACTTTTTTTTAGAAAAAAAGTCGCTAAGGGGTCTGAAAACTCGCTAAATATAGCGACAAAGTCGCTAAGTTGGCAACACTGGTTGTCTCTTGTTGCTCCCGGCTCTCTTTCGTTCCCTCTCCCTCTTGCTCTTGTTGTGTGCTACTGCTCTTGCCAGTGTAACTACCGCCCCGCCCCCTCAGCTCAGCGCTGAGCAGAGGGGGGAGGGGCGCAAATGCAAGGCTCTGTTTGCCATCTCTGCTCAGAGCAAACACAAGGGTGACTTGCAGCGTGAAATGAAAAAAAGTGAAAGAGAGGGCAGGAGAAAGAAAAAAAAAACAAAACCCACGGCTCCCAATAGCTCTAAGAGCTATTTCGTTCGCGACCGACCCATCACTAATCTGAATTAAACAATCTGAAGGTGATGAATGATTACAGTAAATCCATTATAAAACTGAATGGGCAACATCAGATGGCACACTTATTCTGAATGAAAACTAAAGATTATTTAAATATAAATCAATAAAGACAGGCCTCTATCTACATATGCAAGTAATCATGCCAGATTTGACACAACTACATGAAACATACAACGCAATGCCCACATGACAGGACCAACCATTTCAGCTGTAATTGGGAACCTAAGCCTTCAAACAACTGTGAAAGGTCTGTGTGAGTGGCCAGTAAATCTCACGCTAATGTCAGATTAGGTATAAACCTCACATTGCTTTAAACTCCTGGAATATCTGAAAGTCAGCAGTTTTTAGTGTTTGGTCACTTGCCAGTAAGGATCTTTGAGTTCATGATCTCCTTTCTACACACTGATTAGATTTCTTGCTTTTAACTGAAACATGGTTATAGAACAACTACAGTGTAACTGTAAAGTAGTGTTTGTGTTGAAAGAGGTTAAGTGTTAATTTTATTGTCTAACAGCTTTTTGCATTTGCATAAACTGCAAAAGCATCTTTTTGAAAAAATTAAACAGCAAAATTAAAACTTTGAACAACATGGAGCACACGAGAGGGGATTAACATTCAAGGTTGTAAATGCACAAAAGGGAATAAAGCAAAGTGTACATAACTAGGGAACAAAGAACATGTGAAACCTTTCAAGAAAAATGATACTATAGAACTAAAAGAGGGCCACAATCCACAATACTGGATACAGACATCTTGAAATCAAAAATCCTAAAATGCTTCTTCCTACTCTTTCAAAAAAGCTTTTTTTTGTTTGTTTGTTTTTTCTTCATTTTGTTTTCACATGTTAACAATAATGCCACCTTACTATACTTAATTTGAATCGCTTTTCTGTTTTTGGACTGTGAGCTATCCATTTTCATGTTCCTCGCAGTAGTCACTTAATCTCAGAGATCCAGCCTTTAGATACTCATTGAGAACCAGTGTCTACCTTTTGATTTCAGCCCCAGTAAGTCGTGAATTGTATAATGCACAGTGCTGTTAACTTGCTTGTAGCTATCAGTCCAAATTTACGGTGGCCCCTAGAGACAAAGCATGTACAAACTCCAAAACAAGTACAAAATACAAAACACTTGCAAACTCCAAATCACAACGGAAGTGCTCCAGGACGCTAGGGGCAGTGTTGAGCTCGATTTGCAAAATAAATGGCAAGTTTGTTGCAAACACATGGGCTGTATGGTCTAGTCTCCGTTGCGTTTCCCAAGTTGCCTAGCAACCATGATACTAACCGCTGGAAACGTGTCATACAACTTTGTTTGACAGAAATGAGGGAGAACATATTTTGTTCATTTGTTTGTTTGTTTCTACAAGAGCTTTGTGTGATTTGATAAGTATCTGAGGCTGAGACCACAGATGATTTTTGGGCTTCATTTCTGTACTGAACAGTCATTTAAGATTAGTTAGTAAATAACAATTAGCTAATGTTGTTCATGAGACTAAAGTCATCTCACTTTGGTAATGTAAATATAATATGGCCAATATTATAGTTATTATATTAATCATTATTAGCTATTATAGCAGTGAACATGAACTCTGTGTCAAATACTGAGCCTCAGTACAGATTCAAGTTGCAGTTATTTACACGTCTTATCACCTTAAATCTTCACTCAAAGACAAGTATCTTTGACAGTGCATATATAGGTGTATCATATATAAGAGACAAATGTTGTTCCTTCAGAATGAAGAGTAGACTGATATATTAAATATTCCTTTATTGGGAGAGAAAATCAGACCATGTCATAACTGCTTTAAGTCATACAGAATAGATATCAGAGCCTTAAACAGGCTGACGTCTGCTAAATGGGTCAAACTGGGCAGAAAGTACACAAACACATAACATCCTTATAGAATATGATGTAAGATAAGATAAGATAAGATAGAACTTTATTAATCCCTCGGGTGGGTTCCTCTGGGAAATTCGACTTCCAAAAAAAGCACAGCAACGACCGAAGTTACAGTTACAGAACTGTTATATATATATATATATATACACACACACACACACACACACACACATATATAAATACAGAGACAAATATAAATAAAATATACAAAGGGGGTAAATAGAATAAATAGGAATAAAAAATAAAAATACAAGT